AAAAAAAAAAGCTTTTAAAGGTTTTGAAATTCTTAAATGAGCCAATTGCACCAAAGAGAAAAAAACAAAAAACACCTGAAATGCAATGCTTTTTACCTTTAAAATGGTAGCAATAATCAGAAACCAAACAGAATCTCTGAAAATATTCTCTCCTTTTCTTTTTCCTTTAAACTTGCAGGTTCCTCCACCTACCCTAGCCTGATTCTCAGACCCAGCCTACGTTTGGCCTTTTTCTGAAGACAATTTCCTGAGTTAGTTCTGCTGTTTGGCTTCTCCACATCCAGGCTCCGAAAATTTCTCTTGACTCAGCCTCCATGAAACGGAGGTTTCGCTTCCTCCTGTTCCCCCTTCCCTCTCTCTCGCCCGGCCAGAAAAACTGCTCCCTTATTATTATTATTCGTTTGGATTATTATTGTGGATTTGAGTTCGGGGTGGGATTTTCTTCCACACCAGCCTCCTGGAAAATCCGACCGCCTCGCTTCTCTCGGCCTCTCTTTTTCCTCCCTTTCCGCCCCCTGCCTAATCTCGCAGGCAGGAGCCCACCGTGGCTCGCGCAGGACGGTCGGCCCGGCCTCCGGCTCCCGGCCCCGCTCGCCCGCTCGCCCCACGCCCGACAGCCGTGCTCCGGCCTTGGCGGCCGCTCGGGACTCCGGGCTCAGGCGCAGGCAGGGAAGGCGGCGGCGGCAGGCCGGCACGGGCGGGCGTCCGAATCCCGGCGTCGCGGCCGCGCTCGCCTCCTTCCGGGCCCCTTCCCCCTCAGCTCGCCGCTCGCTCGGGCGCAGGCCCGGCCGGCCGCCCCCTCCCCGCGTTCTCCTCCCTCCTCCTTCCCTGCGAGCCTTTCTCCTTCCCTCGCTCCGGCGGGGGGCGGGGCCGCAGGCTCCTCCTCCTCGCCGCGCTGCCCGCCGCCCGCCGGCCTTTCCCCTCACGCCGAGGCGGCCGGGGGGCGGGGGCGGGACGCTGACCGCCCTCTCCTCGGATCTTTCGGCCGCTGCTCGCGCCTGCCAAGCCGCCCCTGCCCAGACCTCCCTGCGCGCCCTGCCCCCTGCGACCCTTCGACGTCGCTCCTCGGCCGGTCCCCTCCGCGGCCCCTCAGTCGCCGGCCTTGCCCTTCCGCGCGGCCTAGCTGGTTCCCGGCTTAGCTGGATCCCCGGCTTGGCCTGGCCCGGCCCGGCTCGCAGGGGGCCCCCGGCCTCGACCCCGCAAGGCACCACGCGCCGTGCCTCCCGCCGTCGCCACCACCCCGGTGCCTTCTCGCCGCTTTTCCGCGGATGCTCTTCCCCCTTTTACTGACTTATGCCCAGGACCCGACCTTTGTTTCTTAGCCCTTTCCCACCCTGCCACGGTGCCCGCGCGCCGTGCCCCTCCCCGCGGGTACAGTTTTACCTGTGTGCGTTCACCGGCATCACCCCTGCTCTCCCCGCCACAGCTCACCCTCTCGCCACCTCTTTTATGATCGTATTTTTTCAAAAATTTGTCGCGGCCTCCTTGTGTGTCAGGAGTTCTTTTAACTGTTTTCTCCCGTTTCTGTGGCCCTTCCCACTTCTAACATCACCGACTTTGTGGGGAGACCCTTCGCAGTTTCCTCTCCGGTTGGTTTGGGCCTCTTAATACCAGCCTGTGTAAAGTGTTTTTTAACTCTATGGAAGAGCCTTTCCAGGACAATTTTTCATAACCCCCTGTCGTAGAATCACTGTTTATAAATCTTTCCAAGTATCATGACATTAGTCAGAAGGTCCCAAGCATTATGGTTAAAAATCATTAAAATAAAAGGGAAACTTTTATTATTAGGACTGGGGAGTTAACTTTGTCTTCTTGCCTAGGTGGAGGCCATTGTAAAGTACTGTGCAGGCAGTGGCGTGCTTGCATATGTTCTCCCACTTCAACCCTACCTGGATTGTTCTTGGGATGAATATATGTATGTGTAAATTTACCATACACATTCATAAGCTCTGAGTGACCCCACCAGTGTTAGAAGTGCAAATAGCAAGAGGAAAAAGAAACTAATAAGCACCAAGTGAAGACCTACTATGAACCAGGAGCTTTCTCTAAATTATATCAGGAACAGGTTGGCAAATGAAGGACCTGCTGCCTTCACCCCATCTCCACCAATCCCTAAGCCGAGCTCCCCAAAACAGGTGGTCTGCCCCCCATTTGAAGCACCACAGTCCAGGGGCTGCTGACTTTATTGTCTTCCTTTTCTGTACTACCTGCAAAAAATGATGCTCCCAAATGTGGACACTAGCTCTGTGGTAATAGAACAGTGGTCCCCAAATATTTTTAATGATGTTTTCTTAATATGTAATAGTTACATAAACAATTATTTACATGTATTTTATTACATACCTTATAAAACATACCCTAGTGTAGAAATATTAAAAGGTTGAAATAAAGATAAAATACGTTTGAAAAATCATACTTTTTAGTGAAAATTAATGGCTGTCATAATTGGAAAAGAAGCTTGTCAAAGATAGTAGATTTAACTGGAAGAAGTACATCCTTGATTGCATTTATTAAATCATAATACTCATTTTCCAATCCATTCACCAATGAAGCAAAGACTTTTATTTGTAATTCAACTACTAAATTTACATCTTAAATCAATCCCTCTTGAATGATTGGAAGGTGTCATATTTTTATATTTTTAACAAATGGGTTCAAACCATTAAGAAACTTCATTTAGATTTTAAAAACAGGTTTAAAATTCTGTTTCCTAGTTTTTCAAGTGTGCAGGCAAAGGTTTTCATAGGTGAAACACATTGTTTTGGGGAATAAAAAATCACAATATAGGAACCATTTCCAATCAACCATTTTCAAAATGCTTTCTCCGTAAAGTATGTGTTTCTTTAGAAATCAGGGACTTTCTTACTCAATGATAGACTGTCATCTTCATCTTGAAGGGACGGATTAGGTGGAGTTTTTTTGTTCTTTTTGTTGTTTGTTTTTGCTTTTGAAAGTAAGTGCTAGGTAGCATTCTCTTGACAGCCATTTCTCGTCACTCATTCAGCCATTTCACAGAACACTGTGAAATAAAAATGTGCGTCTCTTCTATGTTCAGTATCTTGGTTTAGGCCTTTCCCAGGCTGTTGTCAATCTGCAAAGCAAAGATTTTCGTGGTCATTCTCCCTGTCATTACAAAGAATTGTAAACTTCGTAGCAATTAACAGGCTTTTCTCCAGTGGTTGGCATACATTATAAAGAAAACGAATGTCAGCTGTGTTGTTAACCTCTGGTTCCTGGACACTTCTCACATACTGCATGTGACCGATGACTTCTGACATAGTGACTAAGTGAGAATGCTAGATCTTTAGTATTAGTAAAGCTTCAATAATTATTTTTGCTCTAATTAAATATTATTGTGGGTGCATTCTTAAGTATTTTCCCCGTGCACACTATTTTATCTCCTTGCATACTCCACTTTGAAGACAATGGGGTGGCTTTGACACAGTAGAGTTCCCTGAAGTTAGCTGGCTATTTAAGTGAACTGCAAGTCTCAGTTTAGAAAACAAAGTAGATTAGATTGTGCCCAAGGCAAACTAGGTTATAGGAATCTGGAGGCAGCTGTTGATGAATAGGAGTGCAAGACTAGGAGTCCAAAGAACTGGGTTTATTCTGGGTTGTATCCCTGCCTAGCTTTGCAACTGGCCATCTGCAGGTTGTAAGGATTTAGTAAGATCAAGCATGGACTCTGTAAACTATAGAGTGCTGGGCAGGAAAATCAGGATAAATGTTAGGAAGTAATAACTTAAATGAACATAGTCCTTTTAACCTTTCCCCATAGAACTCTTATTAACAGATGAATTCTTTCGTCTGACCAACATCCTATGAGCTAGGCAGGGCACTAGTTGTTGTATGCATTTACATTACAGTTAAGGAAACTATGGCACAGAGAGGTTTTAGATAATTTGCATGAAATCCCATACTTGATACATTGAGGCTACAGTTCATATCTGATCATCTGTAAGTGGCGAGAAGCAAAGAAAAAATGCGAATATAGTCTGACTTTTCTTTGCTAGGAGGGATTTTAGAAACGTAATACTTGACTGAACAGCTGGGGGAGATGTGTGATAGAAAACCTTGAATGGTTCACAATGTGAATTCTAGAGAAGCAACTTCTCATTCATGGGCAGACATCCTCAGCCAAAACTGGGTTTTGTTTTGTTTTAAGAGTGATGGATTCCAGGTTGTAGTCATTCTCCTTCTAGGGTGCTGTTAAGAGAGAGGCCTGGCAAAATCATCGCTGAAAGATAATGCCACTATTTTATTCCTTTTAAACCTCTGTCAGTTGGGAAGATGATGTGGAGAGGCTTAATTAAGGTATTGTTTAGTCCTAAGGCTGAGAAAATTCTGTGGTTTATTTTTTACCTGATTTAGATTTCTCTAGAACTCTCTGGGTAGCCAGAATGACCAATCTTAAAATCTCTGTTACAGGTGTCATTTCTTTGTCACTCAGAATATTATGTTCATTCAACCTGTTGAGTTCCCAATAAAATTTTAATATGAAGTAATACTACCCCAAACATCTATAGTACTTACTATGTAAATACTGTTCCAAGCAAACTACAAATTTTAACCACTTGATCCTCTCAGCAACCTTTTGAGTAGGAACTATTATCACCGCCATTTTCAGATGCAGAAACAGAGGCCCAGACAGGTGAAATAACTTGCGCATGGTCACAGAGGTGGGAACCCAGGCAGTCTGGCCCAGGGTCTGTGCTTGACTATCACTGTATTGCCTCTATGCTACGGGCACTAGGCCAGGCACTGGGGAGAAAGGATAAAACCAAAAAACAATGCATAGGCAGAACCTT